GCTGCTGTCCTGGATGTACTGGAGCACCTCCGAGAGCATCGTGCGCTTCAGGCGCTCCTCCTCTCGCGTCTTCTTGAGGTGATCGTAGGTTCTGGCACCTGTGGCAAACAGATACCGCGTTCTCACCGGCTGCCTTGCTCGGCATTGTCAGGCTGGTGTTTTTCCACTTTAGGGGATAAGTGAGGAGCGGGTCTCTAGCGCTGAAGCAAACTCTGATGGCTACTCAGCATGGGAAGGAATCAGATTCCACCCTGCACCCCCCCACCTCTTAATTTCAGGCCAGAAACAAAGAGAAAAGGCTTCCACGATCCCATTCTGGGATAACCAGACCACTTCATTTCTGCAGAAGCCTCAGCTCTCTCTCCAGATGCCAGCCAGTGGCAGTATCCAGAGATAACGCACTGCAGACCACTGTGACATGACATATTTTTTCTTTTCTGAATTTTTTCCAAAGCGGTGACCAAAGCAGAGCTCGGCTAGACAGCGCGTCCTCCGAGCCGATGGCTCAAGCTAGCTTTAGAAAAGCCCAGCTGGACTGAAGCACTCGTGCTATAGCCTTGTTCAGCTAAAGAGCCAGGCAAACATATTTCAAAAATAAATGTCTTTTCATCCAACACATCCTCAGTGCTGTCAAATCACCCTTCCACGCCTTGACGAATGGGAACGGGCTGAATAATGCATCAGGTACTTACTGCAGAAATTGGTGATTCCCGCTGCTCTGTACTCCTGGAGTCGCTTTATTTCCCTTCGCAGCTCAAATTCCACTGGTTTGCCCCAAGAGTGAGCAGAAGGGAAACCCAAAAAACAAATGGGGGTCAGTGGGGGGGCAGTGAACTTGCTCTTATTTCTCTGGGTAGATGGGGGGTACAGCCCCACAGATGGGGTGACCTCCCTACACCAGATCTCAAACTCACTGTGGCACAACGCTCCTCCATCACAGATTTCAGCTAGTTTTTACCATTTGTGTGCTCAGAAAAGTTCTTTTATCTTCCTGCTTTGACAGTTCCTGTGGTGCTTAGGGACATGGTTTAGGGAGTTAGGTGGTGTTGGGTTGGACTTGATGATCCTTGAGGTCTTTTCCAACCTTAATGATTCTATGACTCTATTCTATGATTCTATGATTTGCCACACCCTGGGCAAGGCAAATAACAATAGCACAGGATTTCTGGAAGGGTTTCAATAGGTTTGAAAACCTGCTCCATCCAGGCTCTTGACAGCAGCCAATGTTCTCTCTGAACTATGACTTTTCATAACTGGACTTCCAAAATTTTTCCTTGCAGACAACTCATTTTCTGCAGCCAGTAAGATTAAATATCCATCTTTCTTTTGCTCAGAGATATTTACTACCTCTAGCTTTTATCAGCCGGCTTCCAGGCACTGCTGAGTCTCACAGTGAGCAACTTTCCTCGTCCCGCGTGTTGACTCACGCTGCTCGGGATGATGTGTGTGATGTGTGCCTTGACTGTCGGGTTAACTTGGGGACTTCGCTGTCACTACAACAACAGAACGAGGTTCCGGGACTAGCACTCCCATGTGGGACTCATGATTTTGCAGAATCATACTTTTGGAATTTCACATAGGGTGTCCTGAAAATACAGCCACAAGCATTTCAATGCTTTGTTCTTTCTAATGAGCAAAAATGTTCCCCGTTTAAGTCAGGTAATTAAGCAGGATGTAATGACTCGTACTGGAATTTGACTAAAGGCATGCTGTGATTACGCAGAGAGACTCAAGATGATTCGGTGACGGAACAATGGCTCTCAGTTTAAGGTAAGGGACATAATGACAGCTCTGCTATATAATTACATAGCACACATATAATAGGTTAATGTCTATCTTTCAAAGAATTCACAATTTGCTGCCAGCTCCTCATCTCTCAATACAGACGTAAATTTTAGGGATTTTGTTCTTTCAGTGATATAGAGCCCCAGTAACCGAACAGTGGTCTTTTGATAGGAAAATCCTACTTCTAACACATAACCAGAATGTTCAGTCAACTGAGAAATCAAACAAAGAGCTCAGACACAGTTTAGGGGAAAAAAATCCCTTGCTGCTCATTTAATGTATTAAACCACAAATGTATTTGTTTTTCTGAGGTAGTTACAAGGGGGAGGAGGCGAAAAACAACCTCCTGCCCTCCAGGAGTGGTATATATTTGTGAAAGATTGTAGATGACGCAACCCCTCATTATGCCTATTGAAGAACATAGATGGCAAAATCCTCAAAAATACTTACGTGCGTGGCTTTCAATGAACTTATCGTGCTCTACCGGTCCGAGAATTCGTGCAAACCGTCGCATTGTTTCATAAAGGTCTTGAACCTCCTTTGGATACCGCCTTTCCAAAACTAAAGGGGGGAAAAAAGTGACACACCTCGTCACTCCTACTGTGAGAATAAATTCAGTGGGACCCCAAGTTAGCACCAGCCTGTGTGCACTGCCCAGACACCCAGGCTTGGCACGCTTCTTGGCGTCACAACGACAAATTGCTGAATACAAAGCAATACAATTATACAGCCCTTAAAATTCTAGAAGCATAAAGATATTTAAAAGTTGTTTGATCATTTTTTGGAATAGCGAGATGCTCTTAAAAGGTCCAGATTTCCCCTTCCCCCCTCTCCCTGCTCCGTGGAGCCCGAAATGCTAGTTTTTCTGGGGCAAAAACTAAAGCACAGAGCGGGGAGCTGATAGAGCCAGCCAGCTGGAAACAGCCGGGGCAGGGAATGTGCTTGAATTCAGACCATCTGAATGTGGTCCGGGATGAATAAACCACAGTGGTGCGAACGGTGACCACGGGAAGTTCTGCTTCCCAAGCAGAGACCACGTGAAAGTGAAGCAGTTCCACCCCATACTCACTCTGGAACTTTCTGAGGTTGATCAGACCATGATCTCGTATGATTCTGTAATTGAGAGCAAACCGGTGTTAATGAAAGGCGTGAACTTGTGTGCTGCCTCATAGATACACGGGCTTCAGAAGAAACGTTGATTTAGACCATCTGAGGGGTCTAAAACTGAACACGTTGGAAATGTCCATAACCCCTGAGCTGGGAAACATGAGGCAGCGATGCGGCGTGGCTCTAATCCCGGTAATTTTTGGACAGCGGTGTGCATGAGTCCACAGCACCAAGCACAAGGGGAGCCACCATCACTTTAAAGGTTTGAAATCGCTGCTTTAGGCACAGATTTTGCATTTACGGTGTCTTCTAACTTGTCCTTCCAAAACTGGAGTGACTGTCTCCTGAAGCATCCTGGTGCCCCAGCAAGGGTGAGAGACGGACTGGAAATGTCACCCCGGGAGCAGGGTGAGGGGATTTTTCCAGGACAGCTCAGATTTTACAAAGAGGAGAATGATGCAGGTAACTCATCAGATTGAGATGCTGCTGATGGGATCAGGGCGGTGAGCAGGGTGAGAAGGCGGGTAAGGTATTTACAAGTGCACAACAAACACGTTTGTCACAGGTTTTGGCAGATGTCACATTGCTGGGTGGTCATTCGATAAAAACCTGACCTGCGAACAGTAAGACCTACTGCAACGTTGGGCTTGGCAAGGTCAAGTTGGAATTTGCTCTACAAAATCCATGACTTTTCTTTAGTATGTATAAAAGAATATTCCTTTTAATTTTTATGTCATTTTCCAGATTGTTGTCCCATCCTGCTGTAGAAACTTTACAAAAGCTGACACCGATTTGAGTCATGTAACTGAGCCTTATGACACATATGACATGATTTATCATACCACATAAATATTTTTTTGTTTATGAATTATAAGGAACCAGGTCAACAGATACCAGCTCTGACGTGTCATTCACAGAGCTGTGCTGTGCTATGAGGAGAAGGAATGAAGGAGTCTTACTCCAAATTACGAATTCTTTCAGCAGGGAGTAATACAGCAAGATATAATTTTAAATATTGAACAAAGTATTTGGAAGTTATAATAAAATTGAATTTAATGAATAGATTGAGTCATTCTAAAAAGCCGTCAAATGAACTGCATAAATTATTCAACCTCGCGTCACCCATATAGTTATCTTCATCACACATTGTGGAAAACTAACTTAATGGACCACTAAAAATTAAAAATAATGATGCAAACATTTCTATGGAGAAACTGGGGGTCTAGCAATTAGTCACAGACTGACAGCTTTTTTTTTCCCCCCTAAAGTAGAAAATGAATTATGCGCAGCCCATCAGCATTACATAGGGAACAAAAAGAACAGAGATTTGCCTCTTTTTCTGGTTCCTAGCCCTAGGTGTGTGGTTTCCCAGGTGGTATTGCAGTTTCTCATGCTGCAGGATGGCTATGTGATCTCATCAGGTGCGCTGGAAGCTGAGTTATTTCTGGATACCTGGGTTTGGGATAGTAATGCGAAGAGCACTGCGTACGTGCTTCTCAGGCACTAAAGAGAAAAGGGGCTTTTCACAATGAATAACGTGTTTTGGAGTTTAAAGGCGTTACGGTGTGTGGAGGTCCTTTGTCAGCCATGTGTACTGTCAATCTGTGTTTTCTGGGCTGGTACCACTGCCGAAGCCCCGTGCCTGATCTTAGTCTGGGCACGGGAGGACAGCTCCACGTCCAGGGTGACGCCTGTCATGTGGATCTCGTAGCAGAAGGTCTCCAAGCACGGGACCTGTCTGGCAGGATGCTACAGGAAATCCGTTACGTTTGGTATTAGGACAACACTGGGGACCAAAGCGTGGTAACGAAGCAAAGGAACACAGTTATTGACTGAAAACTCACTTTTTTCTTCTCTGTCTTTCCTTTAACCTGGAATGGTAGATATCTACAACTGCAATCTTCAGAGCTGAAAAAGAATAATTAAAAAAATACAGAATACATAGGTTATCACTGTGTTAGGCTAATTTTCGAGCCTTTATGTTCGTGGCAGGCTGAAATGGTCACTCTGCTTTGCTGTTTTAAAACTCCCGTGGCAATTCCACGGGGACAGAAAGTCCCTGGAGGCTAACCTGCAGATCATCCATGTACCTGGAGAAGCTTCCCTTCGCTTGCTCCTCCAGCCTGTAAATAGGATCCTGGGGAGACCCTGAGAACTCTTTTCCTCTTTCTTCTTGGACTGTTTCACTATTAGCACTTATTCGTTCCTTCACAGATGCAATTGTTAAGTATTGCTTCTCCTGAAAGGCAAACTTCCCAGATTTAAGGGATTTTCAACTTATCAGGTCTGAGGTACCCCCTTTGGACAAAGGCTTCTCTGCACAGAACAAGGAACTCCAAAAACCAGAAAGACACAGTTCGGAACCGTGAGGATTCAAAGTGGCCTTTCCTATAGTTCTTAAAAAAAAATCTACAAGATTTTAGCTTGTTAACTTCCACACTTATCTGTCTGCCAGAAGAACAAAGAGAATAGTTCACGGCAATCTGCAGCAGCCACGCTCGTTAGAAATCACGTCCTTCCCAAAATCAAATCTGTCTGTGTCTGATCCACTCAGAGATCCTTCAGCTTCTTTCTCCTGCCACCATTAGGTTAAGAAACTTTTTTTTTGGTAAATTCTTGAAAGAAAAGATAAGGAGACACCTACCACCTTCCCTCATTTTGTTAAATAATGCAAAAATTCGGGGTCATTAAATAAGCCCAGAGTTGGCTGATTTCTCAGCCAAGGGGGGCAGAACCCAGAACCCACCCAGGAAAAGAGCAAAACTGACACTGGCACTGATTGATTGCCCTCTCCAGTAAATAATTAATAGTGCAATTAAGAAAGAAGTGTGGTGATGTGTCTATTTAAAAATATGTATTTATGTGTGAACACCAGGAAGCCCCTGGCCTCCAGGCAATTCATCTCCGCAGTCCTCTGGGCAATAAAATTTCTTATGAACAGGGACAGCCAGAGGCTGCGGGTGTCAGCTCAGGAGCCAACGGGCTGGAGCTACACTTGCTGATCCTGTGTGAGCAAAAGAATCTTCAATGGATTTGATGTCAATCTAGGAGCGTATGAGGATAGGAGGGATGGTACAACATTCTGACTTCTTTTTGCAAATTTTTTTGCAAAAGCAGAGTGTTCGAGCATCGTCGTGTATTTTCATAAAGAGGTATTTTAAGTTTCCTAATTTAAGATCCAGCACAGGCATCAAATTCTCCTTCTTGCTTAAATGTGGGGACAAGAAAAGGGGAAATGCAGTAAGTTAAACATGAATGAAATATATTAGTAAGTGTTGGAATCAGTGCCAATTTATGGAAAATATTTTTATATTTTTAAACGCTCTGCGAGCTAAGCTAACATGTTATTTTCTGGGGTTTGTGTGGGCAGACCTTAATGAGTACATGCAGAAATTGCATGAGAGAACCTCTATAAATATCACAAGTCATTATGCACCTATAACCATTGCATTTTGACGCTTCCACCTGAGCGCACAATATTCTGAAAGAAATTACGATCAAGTGGGGAGGGGAAGAAACATTCATGAGAACAAACGAAGGAAAAAACCGGAGCTTCTGCTTACAGAAAAATTAGTATTTGCTGCCACATGCACTTCTGGAGGGGCTTTTGTTTTTAATAGACATATTCACCCAGGAACAGCCGATTACAGGATCTGGAATGCATGAATAACCCCGGCTACTCTACTGTTACACGCTGCATTAAAATGAGAAGGGGGATGCTGTGCGAATGAAAACGATTTGCCTGTGCTTTTCCCCACGGACCATACCAGGGAGGCAGTTGTTTGTACTGGTAACTTAAGATAATCTAAGCTGACACCGTGTTCAGAGTGTCCATTTTGGGAAATGATAAGGTTCTTTGAGCCAGTGAGAGGAGCTCTGAAGGACCCAGTGATAGGCAGGAATTCAAGGCTCCTTGCTCCATTCCAGAAAATCAAAATATTTTTGTTTCTCAAGAGTGTGTCCAAAACAGTTTCTTTGCTTTTCATTCCTCTTCAGCCTCATTTAGTCTGAGAAAACTTTTTTGAGCGCTAATGAGTGAAACCTTTGTTTCAGGCTAGCTAACCTCTGTTTGGTGTGCAGAGCCCAAATAATGGGAAGAATGCAAACTAATCAAAGGAAACAGGCTGTGTACCCACGGCGGGACGCGGGCGGTACCAACTTAGTGGCTCCAGTCCAAATTCACCCTCCCTAGGGGACAGCAGGACCCTGGGCAAACAGAGTGTCCACCTGCAGAGCATGTCAGGAACTTCCACAAAAGAATAAACATCACATCATATTGAGAAGGAACATTGACTGCTTTGTGTCTTATAAAAGGAAATTTCCCTCCTGTACAGCCCAGTTGCAGTCTGCTTCACCCACTTCTAAACTGGCGGCTTCAGTGTTAGAAGTAAAAATAATTTACGTGACAAGGAAAGGGGAGAAAAAGCCTAGAAAAAGATAAATTACTAAGGTTATAATTCAGCCTGATGAAAACTCATTAAATATTCCAGCACTCTGGGCTGAGTTAGGTATGTAACGAGTTGTTTCTTTTGATCTGTCCGTTACGTTTTTGTTTAACTGCAAAATACATTTGCACGCGCCTATTATATTTGCAAGTACGGAATGAAAGCAGTTCAACAAGTTAATTGAAATATGAGAGATTTCCTACAATTTCCACCATCTCACTCATATCAAGAATTGGCTGAACAACGCCCGTGACCTCCTGAGCGGTGGGAGGTGCTGGTGGGTCACCACGTACAGGGTTCTGTGGTCCTCCAAAGGGCTGCCTGGGAGCCTTCCACCTTGTGTTCAGTTACATTCTTCTTTCTTGTGAAAATACCGAGAACTTTTGCTTAGTGAGACACAGGAAAATACAAGAGGGAAAATGCAATGGTATAGGGAAACTCAGGTCAAGTAGCTTAGATCTGGAACTTTTTATAAAATGGTTTTTACAGAATTTCAAGCAAAGCAGAGCAATGTGGAGGAAAGGGAAGAAGGGGGAATTCCGTTCCAAGGAAAGCATCGGATATGCCTGGGTTATGTGCAGCCCAGATCCGTGATCTGTGAAACAAAAGAAAGAAACGGAGACCATAGAAAATATTCTGGTTGGTGTGTTCTCAGGGTCTGGCTTGAGTAACTTAGAAAATGGAATATAAAAGTAGTTTTCAAAAATTAATTGAACCCCGTGAGGTTTAATGTATGGCAGGAAAAAAAATCTGAGGAATTCACCAACCTGATATTTAATCTACGCTGCAAGACCCCATTTGGGTTTCCCTGGGCTATAAAAAGTGCCAAAACCCTGGTTTACATTTTTACCTTTAAAAAAAAAAGTTTGCTGTTTGGTGAGCAAAAATTTGTTGCGAGCAGGTGTGGCAGCCAGCCACAGGGCTGCTTTTCAAGGCCATCTGAGCAGGCTCCAGCGTAAGAAGTTTGCCGGTGGGCAGGGCTGGGATCGGGAGGCAGGTCAGAGCCGCTGCCTGGAAGCAGTGGGACAGGCACCCGTGCAGAGAGGACGAGAACCCGCACCTCCCGGGCTGCCCCACAACCTCCTCTGCCTCTTAGCTGGAAAGTACAAAGGTTTCTTAAATCACCCGATTGCCTCTCCCTTCCTTCAGATCCTCCAAGTGTTGAGCCGTTTTCGACAGTATGCAATCCTACAATCAGGTTGCAAAATATTCAAGCAACCAAGCGAAGGAAGCTTCTGAGATCTCTGAAACTGCAGGACAGGGAGGATGCGGCTCCTTCCTTTCCTGT